GATCCGACCAATTCCCAGATTCCTAGGAGGGCCTCCTAAGGAAGCCTGGGGATCCTTAAGGATCCTACAGTTGCCATCTTTCTGAAAGGGTCTCTTGGGCAATTCTGGCATTCTGAATGACCCCACCAGTTCCCAAATTCCAGGGAGGGTCTCCTCGTGGGAAAACAGACGAATTGCAAAACAACCTGCCGATTCCCAACTTCCAGGGGGGCCCCCTAAAGAATCATATGGATTCTTAAAGATCCTACAAATTCGTAACCTCATAGGAAAAACCTCTCAAGCAAGAAGAAACAACGACATAATCCATACAACAACTGACAAAAGGAACCCATACGGAAGAAACCAGTGAGACAATCCAGGCAACAACAGATTTTGATTGTTGGGGTTTGTCGCCCAAAGCACGCTCGGATATTTTGGGCCCAACATGCCTGTGTTCGCCATGACGACGTCGTATATCATAACGAATACGAATCACAACGTCAGCGTGCACCACACAGTTTGTGTGCACCACGGTGCTGACCTATTTCCCTATCGAACGTGGAGGGGTAAGCGTCGTGGGGGGTGCCACACCGGCGAAAATTAGCCCAGGGACTAATTTCACGCTGGCGAAAAATACGTCACTCAAACGCCGGCTGAAATTATGCACCATCTCAACAAAGTCGCTAATGCTAACGGTGAGTGAAATCAATATGATATTGATGCTGGTGATGACGATGTTGATGTTGAAGGCGGTCGCGCGATCATTAGGATGATGGTGAGAAACGCCGAAGATTGTTCTGCCTCGCTGGCGGATGCGAACAAACGCGGGATACGTGCAATGCGCGGGCGCGGTTGCTGCAGACTGCATAATTGACGAACATTTTCCACGATGTACATCCCAATGACTGTCAATTTTTCGAATGAAATGCGATGTAGTCATGGGTGCCGACGAACATTGAAGCCGCCGTCTCGCGAAGGCTGGCGGTAAGTATTCTTGGGGGCCCAACGTCGGCGAAAATTACACTCGTGTCCACAAGTGCGCGCCGTGAAAAATTACACCACCCTCGGTTAATAAAGGAAATAAGAAAGCTCGCGCCACGACGCCAGCGTTCACCACAAAGCCTGCGTGCGCCAAAGAGGGCAGCGAATCCTAGGAATTCCTGTGGATCTTTCCAATCCCCAAATCCCTGAGCGGGCATCTTAAGCATCCCCCGGAATCTTTCAAGACCTGCAAAACCCCTGAGGATCTTTCAACATCCGTCGAAAACCGCCATGGCCCATCGGAGTGCCTCGAGAACCTTCAGGACCCCGAGGAACCTTGACGGCGCCAGAAGGTCGTCGGCCTGGGTGTTGGCCGTCTTGGTGGCCAATGGGAAAGGTTAACCCAAGAACCTCTTGTGAATCGATTGGAACCGTGTCAGCAATTCTGCGAGACGAAAAGGAGGTGTGAAACTTCTCGGGGCATCTGAATTAAATGGATTACCTGTATTGCCTGATAGGGAATCATGCACGAAGGTGGGGCGTGGTAGTAGTAGTAGTAGTAGTAGTCGTAGTAGTAGTAGTAGTAGTAGTAGTAGTAGCGGTAGTAGTAGTAGTAGTAGTAGTAGTAGTAGTAGTAGTAGTTGTAGTAGTAGTTGTAGTAGTAGTAGTAGTAGTAGTAGTAGTAGTAGCAGTAGTAGTCGTAGTAACAGTAGTAGTATGTTCAGTAGTAGTAGTAGTAGTAGTAGTAGTAGTAGTAGTAGTAGTAGTAGTAGTCGTAGTCGTAGTAGTAGTAGTAGTAGTAGTAGTAGAAGAAGGTAGTTGTAGTAGTAGTAGTAGTAATAATAACAGTGGTGGTACTTGTACTAGTCGTAGATGTAGTAATAGTACTACTACCACTACGGCGACTACGGCGACTACTACTACTACTACTACTACAACTACTACTACTACTACTACTACTACTACTACTACTACAATTACCACTACTACTCCTACTACTACCTACGACTACTACCGCTACTACTGTTACTACTACTACTACTACTACTACTGCTACGAATGCTACTACTACTACTACTACTGCTACTACGACTACTACTACTACGAATGCTACGAATACTACTACTACTACTACTGCTACTACTACTACAACAACTACTACTACTTCTACTACTATTACGACTACGGCTACCCCTACTACGGCTACTACATATACTACTTCTACCACTACCACTAATAGTAGTAGTAGTACTACTAAAACTACTACTACTACGAATACTGCTACTGCTACCCTTACGACTAATACGACGACGACGACAACAACTACTACTACTACTACTACTACTACTACTACTACTACTAGTACTACAACAACAACTACTACTACTACTGCTACTACCACTACTTCTACTGCTACTCCTACGGCCACTACTACTACTACTACTACTACTACTACGACTACGACTACGACTACGACTACGACTACGACTACTACTACTACTACTACTACTACTACTACTTCTACCACTACTACTACTAC